TATATATATATATATATATATATATATATATATATATATATATATATATCAAGGTTCTAAATATCGGTTATCGGGTCCGAGACGGTTAGGAACCGCCACACGATAAATCGGTGCGCCGGTGATTAATCGGAGATATATCGGAAATTAATCGGTTTTTAGATTTAGTGTAATATATTTCTAAATATTATTTGTTAATACTTAAAACGCATAAAATAATTAAACTTGATTTTATCATCTTTGTTTATATAATCTAATCACATAACGAAAGTTTAACATTTAGAACTTGATTCTCTCCTCATTGTTCTAAATGTTTTTATTTTTAGACCAGGTTCTTCTTACGAAGTCGGTGAGTTTGGGTTTGATTGAAAGAGATAATGGGTTGAAATTGAAAATAAAAATAAAAATAAAGATTAGCACCCTATTTTCCTTGCAATAAAAAATAAATTAAAAAAATAAAAAAAAATATTTTTCCGATATATCGCTCGAAGTTTGACCCGATATATCGGTTTGACCCGCCACAGACCGCCACAAACCGCCTCGGACCGCCTCACTGTCAAAAACTGATTTTCAAAACCGCCACACAAATATCATAAAGGTTTATGCCCGCCACCGATATAGCGGCCGATATATCGGCCGCCACAACCTATAACTACAATTCATTATTTAATTTATAATTTTTTTCTTTATACTATAAATATTTTTTAATAAAAAAAAATTATTAATTAAAAAAAAAACCAAAATGAACTCGAGCTCGTCAAAATTGGCTTGAGCTCGAGCTCCAGCCAAAACAAAATAACTCGATGAGCTCGGGAAAATGGACTCGAGCTCGACTCGTTTACACAGCCTGCCAAAACAACCTAGCTCGACTCGTTTACACCCCTAGTCAGAACAGCGCCGAAACAGAAGAAAAGATTTTGAAAAAAAATCAATGTGACAGAAAAAAAAATTATAGGAAAAAAAACCATAAAGAAAAAAAAGGAAAAAAGAAAATGGTGGTGGACACATTGGAAATTCCCCTGACTCATGAGACTTTTTCTTCACTCTTCAATAATAGCACATCAAGTTAGCAAGCAAGCACTCCTATCACATCTGTCTCCCAATAATTCAATAATAGAAACACTAATAATAGATAGACATCTTTTATCTTCACCAGTAATACAGAATATATAGATAGACATTGGAGAGGCTGAGATAAATTTTAATATTGTTATTAAAAAATATATTTGAAATAAATTGTATTTTTTTAGCAATTTAATTAGATAGACATTCGAGAGGCTGAGATAAATTGTAATGTTGTTATTAAAAATATATTTGAAATAAATTGTATTTTTTAGCAATTTAATTAGATAGACATTGGAGGGGCTGAGATAAATTGTAATATTGTTATTAAAAATATATTTGAAATAAATTGTATTTTTTTAGCAATTTAATTAAAATGTGTCTGTTCCGGCTGTGTGCAGCTGCGACGTTGCCACGAAACTAGAACGATAGTCTCCACGATAATGCACCGCTCTGTTCCGGCGACCTTGTATCAATGATTTGGATTACCTATGTGGATTAATTATATCAACATTGATGATGCCTAAAATCTAAACTTTCCTCCCCCGTTGATTTTTTCATATTTTTCTTGTTTTATGCATATACTATTAAAAAAAAAGTGCTGCCCTCAAACCCCCTTCAATCTTAAGTCCACTATTTTCTTAGTAAATGTTATTTATATTTTTTACTATACTTAATTTCGTACAATCTCCACCAAAAATTTTGAATTTACCACTGCATGCACCTCTGTGAAAGCAAAGTCAATTGTGGGAGATAGTCTTTACAAGTCTGGCAACTCCAAAAAGAGTGTGGAATTAGTGAAACCAAGTTGCGTTGGTTTTCCGCAGACGAAACATAAGCGATACAACGTCAAATATTCGCGGTGATTGCTATGTAGTAAAAACTCGACCGCTTTTTCTTCTTTTGATAGTTAATTCAGTCCACATAGGTTGATATTCAGTCCTAGCTAATTATAAAAAAAAAAATATGTGGTCATGACGCGAATCATCTTTTGAAATGGGGCCAAATATTTATGTACATTTTGGTGGAATCGAGTATATAAATGATAGAAGGTTAATGAATTTCTTGTCGTCAAATGTATGTTGATTAAATTATATAATAGAGAATAAATAAGAGATGGGTTTGAGTGGGAAGTTAGTTTCTAAAACAAACATAAAATCCGACGGAGATGTGTTCCACGAGATCTTCAGAGAGAGGCCGCACCACGTACCGGACATGAGCCCCGACGAATGGGGAACCGTACGTGGGATCTATCATCTTCTGGAACTACACCCACGGTAACATATTACCTTATAACTTTCATGTTTCAATTACTTAATTTATAATAATAAAACCAATTATTACACAAGTTTGAGATGATTTTCGATATGTATCAGATGGTAAAGAGTGTGTGGCGAAAGACATAATTGAAGCGATAGATGAGGAGAAGAAGTCGGTGACTTTCAATATTGTTGAAGGAGATCTAATGGAGCTATACAAGACATTCAAACTGACGGCTCATGTTGATACAACTGGGGAAGACAACGTTGTCACTTGGACTTTTGTGTAATCGAAACTGAACGAGGATGTTCCGGATCCGCATACTCTCATGGACTTATGCGTTAAGATGACTAAAGATATTGAATCCCACCATCTTATCAATGCTTAATTAACAACAATGTTGCTATGAATATATATTTCTCTTATGTTAAAATATATGTGAAAACGGGTACGATGTTGGTTAGGCAATCTCTTTTAACACGTAACATCTCTCATTTCTCTTTTCTCACCCTTTTCTCGACAACCCGCGACCACTCCCCACACTTGCCGTCCTACCGGACGACTACACCCTCTCCGCCCACAAGTAGAAAATTTGCTTATTACTATGAATTTTTTTACTACGGTGAAAAACCGTAATAAAAGGTACTTTTTGTTACGGAACAATTTTAAAGTCGTAGTAAATTCTAGGATTTACCGTAGCAAAAAAGTATTTGGTCCGGCCATTTACCGTAGCAAAGCTTTTGTCACTCCCGTATATACTACGGGGCAAATGTGTAGCAAAAGTTTTTTTAGTACGAATGTGATATCTTTTGCTACGGTTAATGATTGTAGTAAAAAAACCATTTTTCTACTAGTGGCCCCTCCTCCTCCTCGGCGAGAACTCCCGCTTTTTCGATCTCCGAGTGGGATATGAGGATTTGTACATCCCTCTCTCGTTCACAATGCTTGGTGGCGCGATTTGCCGAAGTAGATATATGGATCGTTGACGATGGACTCAGCCAGTGTGAAATGAATGCGGCGGCGGCGGTTGGTGAACATATCACAGTTGATTAAGAAAGGGTCTATTGGCGGCTATCTTGCTGAAGAAGATTGAATATTAGGGCCACTTTAAGGTCTCTGGTGTTTGCAATCAGGTACTCTTATTTTCTAATTTACAGATCTTAATTACTTTTTAAATATCTCTTTAAACCCCTATACTCTTTTAATTATACATTTAGATCGCTTATAGTGAATAGTGGATTTTGAATTCCTTCACGATTGAAAATAATGGATTACGTTAGTAGGATGGGCCGTGGGTAGGGGTGTGAACAAGTCGAGCTCGTCTCTTTTGGCTGGCTCGAGCTCGAGCTCGAGTCTATTTTGCCGAGCTCGAGCTCGAGCTCGTCGAGTCCCTCTTTTTTTGGCTAGAGCTCGAGCTCGTGTCAATTTTGCCGAGCTCGAGCCCAAGCTCTTTTTTTTTTTAAATATTTTTTTAATTATTATTTTATTATTAAAATTATTTAAAAAAAAATACAAAATAAAAACTAAATTGTAATTATATATATTTTTAATATTTGTATTTATTTCTATAATATTTTATATTATTATACATTATTTAAATAAAAATAACATATAAAAAATAAATAAATAAATAAATAATAATAAATAAAGCTCGCGAGCTCATGAACAACTAAAAACCGGCTCGAGCTCGGCTCGTCAAAAAGCTCGAGCTCGAAAACCTCAAGTCCGAGTTCGAGCTTTTTATGAGTCGGCTCGTCGAGCTCACGAGTCGGCTCGGCTCATTTACCACCTCTAGCCGTGGGTGAATAGTGAATTACGTTAATTTTTTTGATATTGAATATCGATAAATTTTGACTCACTACAAGAAAATGCACTTTTGGCGAGGAAATTATTCGTCACAATAGATGCGTTTTTTGTCACTAAAACTTTTGGTAACACCGATTTTGTTACCTTTGTATTGTCCTCTAAAGCCCGACGCTAAAAGTTTTGGTGACAAGTTTTTTGTAGTTGTTACCAATACATTGGTAACAAAAGCTGGTTCGTTACCATATTGGAATCTATGGTAACAATATGATCCTTACCAATACTATTTTATGTCGTTACAAAAACAACATTAGTTACCAATAGTCAAATTTTAAACATTATTTAATACATATTTTTAATAATACAATTTGTCACAAATACTTTATTATGACAAACCAATCCTCGCAAATGCCTATAAGTCTTATTTTATTTTAGTTTTAATCATAATTTTGTCACAAATACTAAATATAGCAATAAATAATAATAATTATTATTATACTGATATTTATATTTTTATATAATTTTCGATAATGGCTTGTAAACCTGAAATAAATTTGTATAAATTGCCTAAAAACCCATATATACAATTAAAAAAATATATATTCGGAATTGTATAAATTCCGGATACTACTTATCCGGAAAATAATATTACAAGTAATTTCAGTTACAGTACATTCTTCAATAGAAAATATATAAGTTTCAAAAGTAAAATAAGATAACATGTAGCAACATATTCCAAAGTGTATTGCCAATAAGATCAAAATCCAAACTAAGTTCTAAAATTTCAGGTCGTACCATCTATCGTATTTACTCCAAAAACCTGCAAATACAAGATAGTTTAATGTAGAATGTTAAATCATCAAGAAACATGACCAATATTAAGAATAAACGCTATACGTAGAACAAAATAACAATTCAAAAATATGTATATTATCATGAGATTATATAATTGAATGACAATATTCACTTAGCTTACATTATCAACTCCTTTGTCTCTTCTCATACACCTTGTATTTCTTCATATTGTTTTCGGTAGCAGTCATCGTAATTATGAAGTTACTATGTATAATGAACTGCAAATTATATATGTTGGATATTTAGTTCAACAAATAAAAGTGATATTCCACCCCGTTTTATATATGTTATGTAATGAATGCCAATAGAAATAATAAGTAATCTTAGATGAAAAGCAATAGATTCTAGGTAATTGTACCAACAAGATAAACTATTTTCACATTTAAGTCAAACTCACAGAAAGCCTAATGATGCCTATACAACTCTAGTTTAGGCTAAGGCTTATAATTTAAAGACGATTCCTTCTACTTTTCACAGAATATTGCATGCAAGCAAATAAAAACTAGAACTACATTAGCACAAAGTGAAATTTGGTAGTATATCTAGCTATATTTTGGAACTGCCATCAACAAAATGACAAAGTTTTACCATAACTAGTAACAACAAGCGTAACCAAAATTCAAGAATATATACTTTCATGTAAGCCCAACTCAAGGAGATCAACCGAGAGAACACCTAAGAGAAAAGTCCATATCAGCATAATCTTAAATCAAGGGTAGTAGTACCTTGAATTTTTTACATTCAAGTAAAAAATGAGACATAATAATTTTATTTTTTTTGTCAAATGGATTAATAACAAAGCTGAAATGAACAATGACTCACAATTGTCTAATCAGAGTTGTTGAAGTCAGAATTTCAACCTATGCGCTCATTACCATCTTATAAATACCTCGACCGGCTAATCCATCTTAAGCCTCTTCGCATCTTCAAGGTATCATCAAATGTGAAGCAACGAAACAGTATAAGCATTGATATAAATACATGAATAAGACAATCGAGTTTTAACTTATTATATAGCTTACATTTTAGCACGTGGTTCGCTGATTACTTCACCACTGCCTAAAATAAAAGAAAATGATTCTTCCGAACCTACAATGCATGCAAAAAGCAAACAGATATGCATCTCATGTTTTAACCATATTTTGTGTTCACTACCGGATTAGTCCCCCATTCCTTGACAATAAACGATGTCTAATCTAAATAAACATAAGTAAACAATCTATTTCTAAGCAATTAACAAGTAAGATCAATAAGAGAAGAATATCACCACTATACATACATCTAATCCAGTTCAATCTTCTTCTCTAATTTTGTTCAACTAACCAATGGCTACATCTTTGAAGAATTTGCATTACACTGTCTGCAATTAAACAAGAATTCTTATACTGTTTGTAACGAATATTCTTCTTTGTCACTAGAAAATACTTTCTCGTAACAACAATAAACCTTTTGTAACTAACATATTATGTTGTCGCAAAACAATGGATTTTTAGTAACGAAATGATCCTTTTTGTAACAACGTTTTTGCAGCTTTACAAAACATTTACTTTTTCGTGACAACAATTGTAACTCGTTACAATAGACTACTTCTTCTGACAAATTTAATATTTGTTACCATTGTTTCGTTATTTAAAAGCTCTTTTTTTGTAGTGTAGTGTGCATTGGATTTCTATATTTGGTAAACCTGCAGGAAGAAATTAGTTAAAAAAAATGTTGTAGACTTAGTGGATTCATTTTGCTAAGGCAGCGGATATATGCAAGTTCATTTTTTATTAGTTCAAAACCATATAAATGGGTTTATTAGTTCAAACCCATAAATTAATCTAATTTTATTACATCAAGAACAAAGAGGACAAATATATCATTATCCACAAAAAAAACCCAAATATAAATAAACCCTATTTTTTAATTTGTTCGAGACCAAAAAATCAAAAAATCAAAAAAAAAAAAAAAAACAAAACAAAACAAAAAAAAATATCACGATTGCCGCCGCCAGACCGCCGCGACGCCGACCAGCGAGACTTCCACCGCGCCGGCGATGACCAACGACCCACCCACCACACCACCACCACCGCCAACAAGTAAGTCCTTTTTACTAAACTTTTGTTTGTAAATTCGAAAACATTAATCGAGCATCGATTCTTGATAAATATGCGTGGGTGAACATTAATCTATGCTTATTTCTTGTTGGGTAGCAATGTTTTGGCTGATTTTGGAAAACAAATTGAGATTGAAATTGATTTTTTTTTTGTGTTTTCGTTGGTTTTCCAAATCGGTTTACCCCGACCGATTTTGTACACGAAATTCAGCATCATAATGCCGATTTTTGTTTACCAAATCGGCGACACAACGTCGACTTTACAAGTCAAAATCGACGTTGTAAATTCGATTATTGAGTACAAAATCGGTTTTCGGATACCGATGTTTTTCGGGTTTTTTTTCTTCTTTTTTTTAATAATTGATATTTTTTAAATATTTTGCAGTGGAAACTCAACCTCCTCGTGTACCGCCGACCGTCTCAAACCGTAAACGAATGAAAAACCGCCAACTCGTAGTACACACTATCCTTAAGTGTCTAGATCTTATAATACAACTTTAGAGGTATTAAGCATAACTATATAAATATATAAGCTACGATCAATTGTAAGTAATGCATAAATAAGAATAAAGGCTACCAACAATCTTAAACAATTTTTCATCAATTACATTTTTTCATGAAAAATCTTTTATCGTCACGTCTTCACTTACATATGTTAAATCTATGAAGGTTTCTTGCAAGGCTACTTCTTGACCA